AAAAAACTTGCTAACAAATGGAAAACAGATACAGAACCGTAGAAATAAATTAATATATATATATAAGTAATCACAATTTATCAGTTGATATAAATTATTGAATTAAAAGTCAATGGCTGTCAGACTAGATTTTAAAATACAGAAATATATTGTAAAGAGACATACCTAAACAGTAAAGGTGCAGAATGGTTAAAGGGAAGGATAAAAATTGATCAGACAAGTACTAATCAAAAGAGAGACAGTGTTTGTATTCGGGTCAGAAAAAAATGAACAAAAATACGTCAATAATGTTGATTACATTTCAATGAACTAGAAATCCATAAAAATTCTAAGCTTGTGTGTAAATAGAATTTGTAGATTTGATGAGCTCTCACAGACAGGTATAACTCACCTAAACCAGAGACGCTCGAGTGTCCGTTCCATTTATGCACACAGAGATTAATTTTTAAACATCACATGTTATGCTATAAATTAATTTTCTCCAAATCCACATTACTTTGACCACCTCTTCTGATGATAATGCAATTCAATTAAATATCTACAGCAATAAGGCAATTAGATATTTTAAACAAATAAAAATTTAAAAGTAGGTATTAAAGCAACTAGTGGGTACTAGAGGGGTAGCAGGGCCATTCAGATTTGAGGTTACACACAGGAAGTTTTCCATTCACTTATCAAACAATTCATTCAGTAGTAAACCAAACTTCAAAACTTGGTTCTGATTTCAGTGGCCTTTGCTCTCTTTGGTATTTTCTAATTTTACCTCTGTTCAACCTTGTTCCCCAGTGTTTTTTTTTTTTCAGATTTTGTCTCCATAAAAAGGATTGATGGCTTCTCAACATTGAACGCAGGTGCTTGGTTTGTGCTCAAACTCCTCAGTGGATGAGGGATTATTAACTGTGGCATAAATGCTTTTTAAGGACATGAGAGCAAGTAAATCATTTTCAGCTGTAAATTGATCAGCTTTTCTTTTGGGAGCTGTTTCATCCCTTAGAAAAAGTGACAGGGAGGTTTGAGGTTATAATCTCCCAGGTAATCTACTTTAAATGCCACTTGGAAATTAAACAGAAAGCTTATATGTACATTTTCAGCCACAGAATCACAACTATTGGATAGAAAACAGAAGCATTATTCAACATAAATGCCAGTGCTGATTTTATTTCATTTTAGTTTCACAAATCAGGAGAGAATGCTAGTTTCCATGAGGAAAACAGGAAAGTCCTAGAACCAGGATTCAGATGAGCTGATTTCATGCTGAAATTCATTAATCTTTAGCAATGAAGTTAAGATTCTGACTGTATCCAAAATACTGAATGCCACCTTTTACTCAGAGATAAAGGAATTTATCTAATGACATAATCGTCTGGTAAGTAAATAATAATTTAGAGTAAATAATAATTACTTCCATACAAAAAATTTAAAGTTTGTATATATATGATAAATTAAACACTTGCCTATAAATATGCTGATTTTGTATGTTCATTCCCCTTTTTCTCCAAGTTGTACAAGCATTTTATATAGTAACTTTCTACTACTTAAGTACATGTAGTGAATAATTGGTGTCCAATGCCTCAGTAGATGTCAAAATGAAGTAGATTTTGGGGGGGGGTATGATTTTGGGGAATTCATGAAGAAATTATAGCATTCAGTCACATATGGGGTATGTGAGAGAAAAGTAAAAAGAATTGATAGCTTAATCAAATGCGTGTCTTACATTTTAGGCAGAAAAGAAAAATAATAAAGAAAAATAGGTACAAATTAAAATAAATGAAAGGAATGAACCAGAGTGGAGATTCATTACTCTTCCCCTGCCTCCTCTGCTACTCTGTGTAGTAAGTATACAGTGAGATAGTGAGAAAATAATTAAAAGATGCATTAAAATAGCCTTTAGTATCAATCAGTGTTTATCCAAATTGTAAAGGGTACTTGGTTTCATTTTCATTAAAGTGAGATGATAAAAAGATCACTGGACCCTTGTTAGGACTGATGATTCAATCATGTGAAATGTTTAAAACTGCTTCTAGGATATCTAGTCAACCTGAAAGAGAAGGCTAGAGAAAGAGAGTTTCAAACTTCCCTGCCTATGAATTAATGGAATTTTTCTACTTGTATTTTTCCCTATAAAAATAAGCTTTTCTTCAAGGGCTGTGTGAGTTAAGTATTAAAGTGATTTTAGATCCTTGGAAAGGACTTAAGGTGTGTTATAACTATAGAAGCAGAGTAATTCTTGGAAATGAAATTATCCTCGACCAAAACTAAAGCACCTTTTAAAAATAACTTTTATGTGTTATTTCTGACTACAGAATTATGAAGTATATATGTGATATTCTAAAAATATTCCTTGGGATGTACTGTGTATAAAATGATCATTATTTCTAGAAGAAATCATCAAGTCACTTCTAAAAATAACAAGAGAAAAGAGTGAAATCATATTTTACCAATTCGTGCAATCCTTCTCTCATTATAAACAATGATTGAGGTCCAATCTGTGTCACATAAGTGCCACTCACATCTGTATGTATTGTTCTGGCTTAGTATTGGAGGCAACCTAATATCTCAATTTTATGTATTTAATTATTATTATGTCTTCATTTCTTTTGACTTAAAGACTTAAGGACTTAAGCTTCACCTGATATCACATTTTTTTATTGCTCTCTGTAATACTGTTAAACATACAGTGATGTTTCCAGCATCAGGACTAAGCTGAGGCAAATGAAGTACTTGCTTTGTGTGCAAACAATTCAATGATCAAGATAATATTTAAGTGAAATATTTGAAAAATACAAAATAATATTTTAATATGTATTTATTATAATAAATGTGTTTTTTGCTGTATAGCTGCAGCAAAAATAAACATACAAATAATATTGAAGTACAGTATTTTAAGAATACAAATTCCACAGTTTAAAAACAAAAGATTGAAGTTTTACGACTCATCTCACTTGTTTCACTTTGAGCCCAGACATTTTACCCTGTCAATCAAGCGAGCTACTCCAGGAAAATAAATGTATCTTCCCTTGGCTCACTCTGCATCTATATAGAAGATAAATATATGGCTTTGTTTATGCCTTGACCAAGTGCCCCTATTAATATTATTCCCTTTCACTCTAGAAATTAACCTGGTAATTTATATGGTAAGCCTATCCCAACAAAGTTCAGAATCAATTATTTTAAACTAGAGTATAGGAATCTGATTCCATAAATGAATTCATTTCTACAGCACTCACTCTGATTCACATTATGCTTGGTCAAGATTCTTTATGATGATCTATTATCTTCTTTTTTCAGGAAAACCTGCTGAGTTTTCCCTGCATTAGTCCATGGAAAACAATGTCACTGAATTTATTCTGCTGGGACTTTCCCAGAATAAGAAAATTAAAAACGTGTGCTTTCTGCTTTTCTTACTTTGTTACATAGCTATTTGGATGGGAAACTTCCTTATCATGGTTTCTATCACATGTAGTCAGCTAAATGACCAACCCATGTATTTCTTCCTTAATTCCCTTGCTCTCTCAGATCTGTGCTACACCTCAACAGTGACGCCCAAGTTAGTCACTGACTTGCTGGCTGAAAGTAATGTGATTTCTTATACTGGCTGCATGACACAACTTTTTGCCATGCACTTCTTTGGGGGGATTGAGGTGTTAATCCTCACAGGGATGGCCTACGACCGCTACGTGGCCATCTGCCAACCCCTCCACTACGCCGTCGTCATGAGCAGGCAGCGGTGTTATGCCGTGGTCATTGCTTGTTGTGCTGGGGCATTTCTGCATTCCTTTGTCCAGTGTCTCCTCACCATTAACTTACCTTTCTGTGGCCCCAATGAAATAGATCACTATTTCTGTGATGTGTATCCTTTGCTGAAACTGGCCTGCACGGACACCTACAGAGTTGGGATCTTAGTGGTTGCCAATTCAGGCACGATGGGTTTGGTGACCTTTGTGGTCTTGATGCTGTCGTACCTTTTGATATTACACACTGTCAAGGCTTACCCCGCAGAGAGCCGTGGCAAAGCGCTTTCCACGTGCAGCTCCCACATCACAGTTGTGGTCCTGTTCTTCGTGCCTGTTGTCTTCATTTACATCAGACCGGCCACCACTCTGCCAGAAGACAAAGTGTTTGCTCTTTTCTACACCATCATTGCCCCCATGTTCAACCCTCTGATCTACACCCTCAGAAACACGGAGATGAAAAATGCCTTGAGGAAAGTGTGGTGCCAGAAACCATTTTTGCTTGGAAGGCATATCATCTGAAAGGCACTTTCCCTCCTCATTACATGCTTTATTCACGTGATATTTGCTTACTTAAGTTTATTAAACAATGAACTTTGCCGTAGGGAAAACAGACAGACACTAGCGTCAGTTCATTAATATTACAATTTACATTGAAGCACTGTTTTCTTTTTCTATCCATCCCTGTTTCTTATTTACATCTTTCTGTAATCTGAGTCATCATTTCCTTGTTGAAACTCTGTTACATTTTATTTTGATATTTTTTTCCCTTTGGGTTTTTTTCCGTAAGTTGTGAACTGAAAGTCACCTTTCCAGATTCCCTATTTTAGTTCCATGAATGAATCTCCAAATATATGTAAGCTACACTCACATTGCACATCCCAGACCAAAAGGGTCCAGATGACCTGGTTATTCCCCCGATCTCTCATCAAAAAAGAGCATCAGAAATTTAACGTCATATTTTCTACTCAGCCCATGATTTCCCATATTCACTGCAGCTACTTAAAAAGTAAAAATTAGTTATCTAGGATCTAAACAAAATAAAACATGATTTATGTAAGAAATAATCACTATATAAAAATGGAAGATTTTTCTAAAGTGATTTTAGTGAAATCATTTTAAAATCACAAAATATTAATAATTATATAAAATTTTACTATTAAAAATTCCTTCATATAGTAATAAAAAGTATTTTGGTAATAAATAATGTAGCCATATTATTTATTGTCCAAATTGAGACAATTTGAGTGTAAAAAGGGGAGTCTTAATAAGAATTATGCTGAAATAATAGACATAAAATTGGATTTTTGAGGAAAGCAGGATGTCTATGTACTTTTCAATGATACGTGTGGACAATAGTGAAAAGGTTAGTGGCGGGGACACTGTGGAATCTGCATGTAATCTCAGTTGAAGCTAATGGAATTGTCAAAACAAATGTAAACGCTGGTACTGAAACTACTTAGTTTAGTGTATGCTTAATTTTGTTTTCCATTACCATCAAAATGAAGGCTACAAATTTCCAGTTTCTATAGAACTTATACACATCTGGATATCCATTATAGAACTGAGAAGTTTTTTCAAATAATTGAATTAGATAACTTTTTTATTAATTCTTTAATAAAATGGGATTCACTGGACATCATGAAAATAACATGATGGGCTGGAATGATGTATTATGTTGCATGTGTGAAGGAGAAAATGTACAAACAAACTGAATATATAAATGAATACACATACGAAAATATAAAATAATGTCCTAGCACAGTGTGTGCTAAAACATTTTGGAGAAGTTCAGATGGAGAAATATGATTGGAGACTTGTCCTTTCAAGGGGCATGTTTGTGTACGAATTGTTATTAGAGCAGTTGATAACCTAACGGAATCTTTAGTGAAATTATTATTCCGTCTACACCATGATGCATGCCAGTTTGCATTATTTCATTAAAGGTAACTCGAAGCAATGAGGAAATTGTTAACAAAGGTCTTATTTTTAATACTTCATTTTGAGTTAAACTGAAATTTATTGTCCTATAAAATGATGGTTATTATAAATTATTGAGTTACTAGAAAGTTATACTAATGGCAGAGATGGCAATGATGATTCAAATGATTCATCACTCTGAAAATAAAAAATGTGAAGCTGGTGACAGCTGAACACTCAACATGCAGATGAATAACATCCTCTGAACTTAGGGGCCCTGGAAAAGCAACTGTGTTTTCTTCCTCTTTTTGTTCCTCTGTAATTTACAGCTAGTAGTAAGTATCTTATAAGGTAAGTATGATGCTGAAAAAAAAATGAGCAGTATTTTTCTTAGAACAGAAACTGCTCAAAATCATTTTGCTATTGTTCTAATTATTTTAGTATCTGTAAATTAACTTGTGAAACATCTAAGAATTTTAACACAAACATTCATTTTGTACAATAATGTTTTCATTACATTAGAACTATAAGCAGACGATTTTTGTGGCTTATGTTCACTCATGTTTAAGCAACATTATAAAAAATAGCATTTCAATCAACACAAGATATTTGTGATAAGTTTTTGTCTTAAAAAGCTCTATGAACTCTACCTTTGAAATAATGACCTAATTATCTGCTTTATTTTACAGATGGGTAAACTGAAACTCAGCAAATTAAAATTTTTCTAAGCATCAAACTGCAAAGTATAGAGAAAGTTAAGCAGTCAGCTAAAGGAATTTTAAAAATCTCATAAAATTTGATGGAAACCATCAAAGTTTTATTTCAAGCTTGCCAGCAGGTGGGAAGTCTGCATAAAGGCCAGATCAAAGATTTCATTCTCAGTAGTGGCATGTACAGGAAAAAAAGCAGAAGATAGAATTGGATGCAATTTTTAGATAAAGCTGAGGAATATCTGGTTTAATTTTTAAGCAAAACACATTGAGTGAATGACTCAAATTTCTCCAAAAACACTCTTAATTCCATCAAATTTCATCAGAGAATTGCTCAAAAATTCCATTTTCTCTCACCTTCTCGCATAACTATATATCCCCAGTCCCTGAATCAGACCTGTGTTATGTCACATGTCATTTTAGGATTATTTTAAGCTTGGATTTAGATAGTAGGTGAAAATCTTTTACTTTGAAAAAAATCACTTATTTTGAAGGATTTATATTTCCTTCTTTGTTCACTCCTTGATCCTATAGACAATGTGGAACCAGTTAAGACAGCGTGAGTTACACATTCCAATATGCGCGTGTGTCGGGGACGGCGCTTCACGGGCAGATCCCGCGTGACTTGCTCTTCACAGCCACGTGCCGTGGAGACAATGGGACTGGGCTTCACACTGTGATGTTCTGCTTGGATCTGTGTGTTCTCCTCACTTAGGTACAATAACAGTGGTTTACAAACATACACACACACACAACTCTGGTTTATTTGGTAAAAAAAAAAAAAATCTAGGGCTGTAGGCCAGGTATATAGTTTCTGAAAGGAGTCTGCATATGTGCTTGTTTCTGTATTGCTGTAACTGTTTTTTCCCTGTATCACTACTTTCCATGAGTCCCCCCACCCCCCGTTTGGCTTCAGTGCCAACGGGGCTGCTCATCCTCCAGATCTTGGGGGAAGATCTTAAAGTTCAGGGCCTGCCCTTGAACGAGCAAAATCTGTTACTGCCTCTAAGGCTGGCGCTCCGCGAGCTCTGAGTGTCCCAGGAGGGTTTGTGGGCGCTCTTTTCACACGTGAAGTGCAGACTTTACCTTTCAGTGAGGGGCTTATCATACCTAACTAAATGAATTGTGCCTTTAAATGAAGTAGTTCAGACATAGTCAAAAATAAAGGCCTGGTTTATCCAGTTTTGTGCTGGCAGAAGGATGACCAACCGCTGTTTCACCTGTGCAAATAGCTGTTCTGCCACCCAAACTAAGAGGGCTCATACTGCCCACAGAATCAAGATAGATTCAACCACTGGTGTGATCACCTTCAGATACGATTTCATTGTTCACGGCCGTATTGTAGTTAAAATGGACAGTTTAACCCAAAGTCTCTTATTATCAAAGAGCTGTTGTGATTTTGTGAAAGCTTAACCCATTGTAAAATACGCCTCTTAATTCTCATAATGACAAGAATGTTCTTAACCCGCCCCCCACCACTAAGTATTCTTAAATTGGCTTGGATTCCCTAGAGAACAAAACCTGAGACAAAATGTATGTGCTAACAGTTTATTCAGAAATGTCATTTCAGGGAACGAGGTTTGAAGGAAACTGGAAGTGATGTCGGGGGTGAGAGGAGAACTCATACTCAGAAGGTGTTACAGAGCTAAATACAACGTTACATCACACACAGCTTTCTAATCAGGGCTCAGAGGGCAGTCAAGGACCACCTCACAGGGAAACTAGCCATGGAAGCAGGGGAATGGCAGGGAGTTTATCTGCCTGGGTTGCTCCCACCCCACGGTTCTCCTTGCTCAGTGTTCACCTTCACTCATGGATTCTGAATTGCATCATTTATTTCTTTCATGGGCCCTCAGACTGATGACTTCACATTCCACAGCTTCATGTTTTATCCATGCTTAGAAGTGGTGAGAGGAACCCCCAAACTCCAGGCATACTGCTGGTGAGCCTTACAAGGAACGGGTGCCAGGTTTGAGTTTTGGGCTCTCACTGGCTGACAGTGGGCACGTTTGTGGAACACTGGCTCTCAGTTCTATGGACTGATTCCCACAGCTTGACACAAAGGTACATTCTCTCATACATTGTCAGGGTAATAAAGAAACTTCAGCTATTTTACAGGCAAATTCAGAGATTCTCCAGGAATCCTGAATGAAAAAGTAACATAATAAAACAAGCACAGAGAGCAAAGGTTGAGGAGAAGGGTTTCCTATACTCGGAAATCGAGAAGTGGCTGGCAAAGGAATAAACTAGTTATAAAAGAGAACGAGAGAAGAGATCAAAGTTATGAGAAGGTAAAACTACTGTGACAATGAAGCAAGCTACTCATTAAAGCCAGTAACAAGGATGGAAGAAAGATTTCCAAGAAGAACTTTATGTTTCTAAGTGAGAAATCCCTAAAAACATATAAGATTCAGCTACTGGAAAATATAGACTGCAAAAAGTAATTGCATTGGCCAAAAAAGGTGATAAATTTAGAATTTAAGAATAAAATTTAACACTGGTGTTGAGAAAAATTCATAAATATGTGATTATAATCATTCCCTTTGTAAAAAAATTTTTCAATAACTAAATCTCAATTTCCTCTCTATGAGAAGGTGTAATTCAAAAAACTCCATCACGAAATCTACTCTATTTTCTGTCAAATACTATTTCAGGATTATTTGAAAAGTAAGAAAAAAATCTTTTACTTTGAGGAAAATCATTTATTTTCATGATTTTATTTTCTTCCTCTTTGTAGAAAAGCCACTTGCCGTTTAGTCCTTAATCATATATATATAGTTAATGTCAAACCTGTTAAACTAGCATGACTCCAGCCTCCAAGACTTATCAAGCAGGACAGTGGAGTCATCTCAGAGGCGTATTGAACATGTGAGGACACAAATATAGATTTTG